AGTAGAATCTTGCTTACATGTGAAATCAATGATATTGTTCTATAGTTTCCACACTCTGTTGGGTCACCCTTCTTTGGAATGGGAACAAATATAATGGCAACAAATGTAACAAATAATCTCTTCCAGTCAGTTGGCCAAGTGGTTGTTCTCCAGATTTCTTGGCATAACCAAAAAAAGATATTATGTACTTTTTTAAAATACTGTGAACATTATATTCCAAAAGTAATAAAAATAAATTGTAGTCTAAATACTTAATAGTGAATATATTTACTGGTATATTTTTCCATAGCAGAACACTACTTAAACAATATATTAGAGGAGCGAAATACATAGAGGAACATTTGAATTAGAATTGATGGAGAAGCTTCTTTTTTATCTCTACTTATTAAGAAAAGCACCAACAGTTACCTTTCGGCAGATCTCAAGTCTCTGTAAGGCATTCTTATCTGTAGCTGAGGCATCAGATGGCACAATGAAGCAATCACTGGGATGCCTATCATTTCAAATTCAGACTCTCCCTCATTTGTTGTTTAGTAAGATATTACCCTTCCCCTTCCAAAAGGAGTGATGTTGATGTGTCCTCCTCGTCAGGCTACTTAGCCTTCCCCAATGCTAGTAGTCTTTTCATTATCTTCTTATTTCTCTGAACACATTGAGGACACAGCATATTATCTTCTGTTTCTGGAGATGGAAAAACACAGGCAGGTAATATTAAGAGAGAGATCATCTTTCTAGGACTGGCACCCAGACATGACCTGAGTGAAATTGCAGATGAACCCAGCCATCTATGTCTGAGGGGAGAACTCTGCTATGAATCACACACCATCTACCACTGACTTGGCAAAAAGGTCTCAGCTCTAGTAGGAATGTGACATGAGTTCACAGCCTTAGGCTGAGCTGCTCTTGAAGAAATTCTTGTCCAGGATGCCATTATGGCCTCCTCAGCTGAAGTGACCACTTCGGCTCTACAGGTCCTCTCCTACGTCTCCACAGTACTAGAACTTTCTTGAAGTCCTGGTCTCTTGGTACTGCTTTTCTTCAAATGTGAACACATCTTGGCCTCCTTTGGAATGACAGGAATATACTTTTGATCAGGATAAGCCTTTGGTGGGACTTAAACTTCTTTCATTAATACCATTGGTTCCTGGTTATATGCTACTTCCTGAAATTATTCAATGTTCATCTCTTGTTTTGGGTTATAATGACTCTATATTCCTTCCATCTTTTTTTAAGGCCTTTTTAAAAGTAAAAGTTTACTAATTATATTGATTTTTTTTAGTCATTCATAAACATTTTTTAACATTATTATAGCTGAGTAATAAAAGTAATGATAGTATCTGATCAATCCCTTATTGTATATTGCCTTTCCCTTTACCTAACTTACCTTGTTTTTATTGGTATTTTAATGAAAGATTATAGAGCATTTGGATTTCCATCCATTCATTGTTGCAAATTTTCCTCCCAGCCTACCCCTCTCCCCCAGTTTGCTTTTTCTCTTTGAAAAGAAAAAAAAAATTCTTTCATTGTTATACAATCTTCCCTGCCCCTAGTCCACTATACTATGCAGCTCTTATTCTGGATTCATGTTATGCAAATAATACCTAATCATATATCCACTTTAAACAATTCTTTCCCATATCTGTGTCAATGCAGTGTACATTATTTATCCCTTCTTTTTTTAGTTTCCCCTCAACCCCAATGTCAGTCCTGTTTTACAACAGTGGTACTATGCAATATTTGTCCTTTTGAGACTGAGATATTTCACTCAGCATAATGTCCTTCAGGGTCACCCATTTTGTATAATAATTCACGAGTTCCTTGTTTTTCAGTGCAGCGTAGTATTCCATGGTGTGACCATACCACAGCTTCTCTGTCCTTTAGTTTGTTGATGAGCACTTGGGTTGTTTCCTATTGGGTTGTTGGCTCTTGTGAACAAAGCCACAATAAACATGGGTGTGCATATATCTGCTTGGGTGGCAGTTATGGTTTCTTTGGGGTATATTCCCAGTAGTGGAATTGCTGGGTCAAATGGTATTTCTATTTCCAGTTTTTTGAGAAAGCACCATACAGCCTTCCATAGTGGTTGCACCATTTTACACTCCCACCAACAGTGAATAAGAGTTCCAGTTTCTCTGCATCTTCACCAGCATTTGTTTGTTTGTGGCTCTATTGAATTTTGCTATTTTTTAAAAAATTTTGCTATTCTTACTGGGGTGAAATATTGAAATATCATAGTTGTTTTCTAACTTTTAAAAAATTTTTTTTTCTTCCCTCTCCCTTTCCATCCTTGGTCGCTATCAAAGAATGATTCTATTTGTAAACTTTGTTCTTAAAGTTTCATTTTCCTTCCTTCCTTTCTGATTTTCTCTCTGCAATGTAGTATTGAAGGCTTTATTCTCCGTCTCACGTATTCTGTGTTCCATTACTTCAGTTCTGTTCTTTTGTCTTTCCAGTGTTACCCGTTTCTGAAATGGTAGTTTTATATTCTGAATTTTAAGTTTGAGGTTTTGCAGTGCTTTTTACAAAAAAATTCTTCTGTTTTGGTTTTTTTTAAAAAAATTATTTTTTAAAATTTTATTTTATTGTTCTTTGTGTGTTTACAAGAGGAGATTGCTCCTCCTGCTCCAGCAGAGCATCTGGTGGATTTGAATTGCGTACTTCTGGGATTGCAGTGCAGCTTCTTGCCACTAGGCCACCAGAGCTCTCCCTGTTTTGTTTTTTGGGTTGTTTTTTTTTACTTTGACCTTTTTCTCAATTCATTGAAGACACTGAACTGTGCTGTTGTATGCTTTATTTATTTTATTATTTTTTGTGTGTGTGCCTTCAAATCAGATCTGACTGGTACAGAAGGAGATTGTCCCTCTTTCTCCAGCAGAGCATCTGGTGGATTTGAACCACCTACCTCTGAGATTGCAGTGCAGCTTCTTGCCACTAGGCCACCAGAGCTCCCTTGTTGTATCCTTTTGCTTGTCTCCTTATTTGACATTTACATTTAGTTTCTTCCTTCAATTGATATTTTAAACTTGATTCTTTTTAAACTCAGGGTTCCAGAATTATCATCTATGTCCATCATCATTGTTTTCTGGTGTCTTAGTTGAAGAGACTCTGGGCTGCCACCTGTCTAGTTTCTATCCTCCACAGAATTTCCTCCCATTTTATGATGCTTTCTGCATCATCAGTATTTTGCACATAGAATCTTTTCGTTTTTTTAACTTGAAACTTGAAATTTATTCTTTAGTTCTCTCAGCTTGGGAAATGCTTAGTGTGTTTTTCCTTGTTTTCTAAATCCAGCTTTTTGCATGTTTCATTATTAAACTTTGTCTTCTCAAGCTGCCTTCTGAAATCTTCTGTTCAGTTTTCTTCATTTTTAAACATTGCTTTGTTTTTGGTTTTGTGTACCGTAGAGTTGGAAATAACCCTCCAGAGGGTGTTCAGAGGCAGTTTAATCACACAGGAGATTGTCCATCCTTCTCCCATGGAGCAGCTGGTGGATTCAAACTGCGTAGCTTCAGGATTGTAGTACAGGTTCTTGCCACCTGGCTATCAGTGGTCCCTAATTTTTCTTTAGCTTCTTTATATTAAAGAGGAAGTTTTAGAGTGTCTTTGACATAAATTTTGGTCTTCTCTTTCTTTATAATAATCTTTTACTTTTTTTAATGTCCTTAATGTCATTCCACAACTCCTGTTCTTTGGTCCTTAGTTTTTGGTACATTAAATCCTTTCTTAAGATGGTCTCTAAATTCTGGTGGCATATAATCAGGGTTGTATTTTGGTTCTCATGGACTTATTTTGATTTTCTTCTGCTTCACTTTGAACTTGCACGTGAGTAGTTGATGGTCTCTTCCATAGTCAGCATCTAATCTTGTACTGCTGATACTGAGCTTCTCCATCTCTTTCCACAGATGGAGTCAATCTGATTCCTGCACAGTCCATCAGATGAGGTCCATATGTATTGTTGCCATTTATGTTTCGGTTGGTTTTTTTTTTTTAGTATTTGTAGTGATTGGGTTGTTGGCTGCATAGAATTCTGCCACATGATCACCAGCCACATTTTTATCATATTTTGGGGGGATTCTTTGACATTTTATTTTACATAGTCAAACATTTATGAATAAAAACAGTTTTATTTCTTCATTTTCTATCCATATACCTCTTTTTTCTTGCCTTACTGTGCTATGACTTCCAATATAATGTTTAATAGGAATGGAGAAGAGGCATATTTTTACCAGGAAGCACAAGGTCAACTGTGGGTTTATTGCAGGTGTTCTTTATTATTAAGGATGTTTCCTTTTATTCTTATTTTACTGGGAGTTTTTGTTATGAGTGAATACTGGATTTGTCAAATGCCTTTTTGGGATGTTTTAAGTCCAGACCAGATGATACAAAAGGAAAAATGGGAACCTTTCTAGAATTAAAGTTGTCTCCAGTCTACCTGTTGGCTGCTTATTGTTTACATTGTTCTGTGGGGGGAAGTCAAGATGGAATTCCTAATAGATTTTACCAGAAACTAGTTTAGAGGTTTATGGTCATGATTTCATGAGACATCCCAGTTAGTTGTCCTAATTATATGTTCAGTGCCTCTGTTACATCTCCTAGTTTGTATAGTGCCTAGGGTCTTAAAAGCTTGCAAATGATCATCCACCTTAAGTTTGGTCTTAACTGTCTTAGTGCAGTTAAGGAACAAGGAAGTGCTGGTAATTGTTTCCGTGGACATCTGTATCCTAGGTCATGAACTCAGGAGAACTAGATGGTGATGTCCGGACTCAGGACTAACATACCCTAAAACTCTGTCAGGGATGGTTAGAGTGTGTGTATGTATATAAAATGTTTTTAAAAATTATTGAAAGCCAGATTTTTATTCAAAGAACTTGATGGGAAGTGCTTTAAAAATTGGAATTGGAAAGTCAGAAGGATTTTGACAGTGTGTTTCAGAAATAAATCCTGACATAAATAGTAAGCCTGTGTGTCTCATTTCTTACCATTTTGTTTTAAAACTGTAGATTGCAAACCACACTGGCTACATCAAGGTTGACTGGCAACGAGTAGAGAAGGATATGAAGAAAGCCAAGGAGCAACTGAAAATCCGTAAGAGTAACCAGATACCTAACGAGGTCAGGAGCAAAGCTGAGGAGGTGAGGCTTATTTATTTCAAGTAAAGAAGGTTTACAATTTTATATGTACAAAAATAAGGTCAATTGTTTTGATACTTGGTTTTTTATTATGATATTAGTGAACTTTTACAAGGCATACTGTTTTTCCAATGATTCATGAACATTTGGCTCCAAAATAATTAATTAAAACACCCATAGTGTCTGATCATCCTTTCATTCCATACATTTTTCCTTCACCCAAATAATTGTTTATTTATTAATTATCTATTAATTAATTTCCTATTCCCTACTCCTTTCCTCTCTCTGGTAAACATAATAGAATGATTCTGTGTATAAACCTTTATCATTTGATAGTAATTTTCTTGTACATTATTCTTTTGTGACTGACTCATTTCACTCAGCATAATGTCATCTAGGTTCAATGATGTTATATAGTGTTTATGAATTCTTCATTAATATTCAGTGTTGCATAGTGCTCCATTATATAAATATAAAGGTGATTTTTAAAATTATGTAATTGAGGTGCTTGATGACCTTTGTCAATAGGGGCAAATACAGAGTATTTTGTCTCCATTCACACACATAGCTGAATCATCTGTAGTCTACTTATTTTACACATAAGTAGTAGGGATGTCCAGCCTAAGGGTTGATAGACTTTTTCAGTAAAAGGTCACAGAGTGAATATTTTCGGTTTTGTGGGGCACATGATCGCTGTCACAGTGACTCAGTGCTGCCACTGTCGTGTAAAAACTGCCATAGATGTGAGGATGGCTGCATCCCAGTGAAATGGTTACTGTACTGCGTGATCCCTCGATTTAGCAAATAAAGTCAGATTAGGTGAACTTAGGGACACTTTGATGGAGGGACAAAAGTATGTCTTTTGTTGTATACTACTTTTTTATCTTTAGAAATATGTCAGAAGTCTCAAAGAAGCAGCCTAATTAATATTAGCCTAATGCTTTCACAGGCATAACAGTGGTTACTTCTCTCCAAGAGCATACAGCCTAATTTGGAGAACAGATAGTCAATAATTAGCTCCTGGTAGTCCATCACTTGGAAACTATTTTAAGGGCTTAAACTAAGGAAGAAAGAATAGTAATTTGTTGGGAGTACGGATTGGAATTCACCTTGAGAACAGATGAGGAGGGATGAAGAACATTTCCCACGATCAAGTGAACGTGCTCCGAAGAACTGGGGGAAGGGAGGAGCTGAAGGTCAAACTAGCAAGTTGAAGAATAATGAGAAGGAAAAAAAACGATACTGAACACCAGCAATTAGTTCAGGAATTTTGTCAGGGAAAGGCAGAGGGGGAAAAGGAAGCCAACTGGAGGTGAGAGATGCTTGAGTTTTGTGTATCCTTGCTTTTCCAAGACTTGAGTCAATGTAATTGCTGATTTGAAAGAAGTCTGGAGGAAGTGGTTCAAGTTTCAGGTGACTGGCTTAAATCTCCAGCAGAGCCCTTAGCTCAGTAACATTTGTTGAAGACAGAATCCGAGGCATGTCCTTGAATTCTTCTCCTCTTTGTCTCCCTTATGGCCAAAAAGTCCCAAAGTCACTTTAGCATGTAACAGTTGATACAGCCTATATGAAAGTTAAAGTTGTTAATTTTGTTTTAGGGAGTATAGGTTCCTATATATTTAGACTCTTAGTAGAATAATCCAAGGTCCTGTCTTCTCTTTGCAGGTGGTGTCATTTGTGAAGAAAAACGTCCTTGTGACTGGGGGATTCTTTGGAGGCTTCCTACTGGGCATGGCATCCTAAGGCACATAGCTTCACCGCCATAGTTTCTGGATGGTTTCTCTTCCATCATTCATCAGAATGTCCCAGTTGTGTGTTTTCACCAGAAGCCTCTGCACTCCGTCATAGGACATTGAGTCTTCTCCTCCTCCTCTCCTCCCGTGCCTTCCTCCCTGCACTGACAGAGCGGAATCGAGTTCTTTTGGTACCAGTTAACTTAGTATGGACTTAACTTGAACTTGACTGATGATGGAAGAGATAATGTGTTTGTCTCCCAGTACACTCCACATGTGGCTAGTCTAGGTCAACAAGAATGTTTCGTTCCCCTATGTACAACACAAGATAGCTTATCAAGGAGAATGAGTCGATGCTCAAATATTGCCCCTCAGACTGGTGATTTGAGAGAGGAACAGCGAGAACAGAACGGCAGTTTGCTATTTGCTGCGTGCAAAGGAACCGAATACATGGACCTTTACATATCATGTATTTTGGTATCTTCCTGTCTAATTGCTTCTTTAGTTGGTTTTATACTACAGAAAGAGAGCTCTTATTGGGATCCTGACAAAAATGACCACATAAATATTATAATTGAAAAATTCAGAATGAACTTTTGAAGGTATTGTATTTGATGAGAAAGTTTTTAAGGAAGGAAAGAAACTGGTTGCACATCATAGAATGGTCTAACTTAGAGAATCCATGTGGGTCATTAGGATGTTGTCACAGGATATTTGCATCTTACAGGACAGTGAACTCCATGACTATTTCAAATGTAGTAAATCACTTCAGGTGGGCTGGGAAGAAGTACAGAGATTTTTACTTCGTGGAAAAGATTGAATGTGTAAGCT